CCTTAGGAGACGATGTAAATTGTAACTACAACTGTTACTATGATTGTAATTATGACAGTAAGGGTCCATGTTGATAGTGTGAGTATCATTTCCTTTGGGATTGTGACAAAATGTTATCATATGAAACAATATAGTTTATGCATGTGTATTGGTTCTGTTTGGCAAATAATTTTAATTTATTGTTATGTGAATATGTGTTTAAAGAATAGTATTATATGTGCGAATATGTGTTTAAAGAAGGATATTCTATGTGGGAATATGGGCTTAAGGAAAGGTATTTATGTGGTTATGAGTAATTAATGTAAATATGATATTGGGTTCCTGAGATTGAGAATAAACCAAAAGTAATTTATGAGAATGTAGTTAACTAATTGTGGATACCTTTTTGATGATTTGAAAATATATGAGAATGAAAGATATTCTATATGTGAATATGTGTACTTGATGTGAATATAATGTTATGATATCGAGATTGAGAAATTGTGGATATCCTTTGAATGAAATGAGATATATGAGAACTGAGAACATGTGATTAGTAAGATTGATGTAGTTATAGTTGGGTGTTGAATTCAGATGGTCATGAAGGGAGTGGTAAGTTTGAGGTAAAGGTAATTGTTCAAATCAGTATATTATCTCTTATTATTGGATTGGAGTCTTAAATTCTTCATACTGAGCAAGTGGTGCCTGACCCCTTTTTTATCAATTCTAGAGTAGGAAAAGTAAGAGCAAGTTCAAAGTTAAAGGAAGACTTGAGAAAATCTGTTTATGATTTTGGAAAATTGTTCTTGTAAAGTAGATTTAAAAAAATTATTGTAGTGATGTTATTAAAGACTTTAGAGCCTCATGAATTGTAACTTTCCGTAAGGGGTGTATAATTGAGTTTTAAATTCTAGCATATTGATGCACTATTTACTAAGTTCTACATTTGTGGTTGCACTCCTTTCTTAGTAAAGGAGGCGGGTCATTACATAAATAATATGTAACCCGAAGCCTTCATAGCATCGGTTTTTAACGAATTTCATCAAACGTACATTGAATTATAACCATGCAAAGAGGGCTTTGTGAACTAGGTATAAAAACTAATTCTAGACTTATTCCAATGGTTGAAACCATCGAGAAATGTTCAGAATGGGTCTGTTTTGGTGGTTTTTCATTTAAACTAATTTCTATTTACCTGATTTAAATGTGAGATTGCATGTTTTAATAATTGGTGGGAATTATAAGTTAGAGTGAAGAAAATTAAAGTAGAAAATTTATTTTTAAGAAATTAAGGAATTAAATTAGGTCGATATTATACAATAGGAAGGATTAAAAGTTAATTTGGAATAAAATAATTTTAAAAAATGCATAAAATTTATAAAATAATAATAATAATAATACATAATAAATAATATTGGTAATATTACTAATATTAATATTCAAATCACAAAGAAATTCAAAAACTAAGTCAAAATTAACAAATAAAAATTAAACTAATGAAATAAAATACAAAAATTAATTCAAGAGAACAACCAGTTAGAAAAGAACAGGAAGAATAATGAGTAGAGGTTTGAATTATCAAATAAAACAAAATAAAATATGAATCTTAATTAATATAGCAAAAAAAGAAAACAATATGAAGATTAAAAGAAGCAAAATTTAGAAATAACCAGTTTAAGATTGATATGGCTGAAATTCAGCAGTGTGGGGAACCCTATCTTTGGGTTGATGGAAGCCTTTTAGTGTGTGGTTAGGATGTGTGTTTTGTTCTAGGTCATGGTGACGGACTGCTATGACCAATGTACATGTGTTGTCTGTGTGTGCATCCCTTTATAATAGTGGAAATCCTGATCCCATAATGGTACTATTGGATAATAAATTTAATTTCAAAAAAAATTCTAAAATTATAATAACTTTAATATGATTATTGGATTGTGGTAAATCGAGAATCGGGGATACCCGTGAGGGGTTATGGATGTCTTGACTTGGCCGTGAATTGCGAGAAATTCTGGTAGTGATTCTAAGGATAAATATGGCTTAGGGGAAAACTGATGGGGAATGAATTTATAAGATTTTTTAGGGGTAGATTATTCTATGAGCATCTTGAGGAAAATATACCAGGGGATTTCAAGG